TATCTAATAGGCTAGTGTCGATTGGTGCGAAGTAATAACTAAGCCAAACATCGATTATGATGTCTAATATGAGGTAAAGGTAAGGGTTAGTAAATTATACACACGTAGCCGGACCAAGGTGTGGGGTGAAATTCTCTAGATGTCAGACCAAGGATTTAGAGATACCTAACTTATCACTTTGCATGTAATACACTAGAAAAGGATTGTTATTACTAGGATTACTGCGTTATGAGATTATGGGGAACACGTATACCCTAGTTATTTCTCTTATCTTGATAACAACCAAAGTTGAGTTTAATTATTGACTACTTATTAAGTTCTTACTATTTGTTTCACACAAGCACAACCCCCCTTTTTATTACCTGTTTCTGGAAATAATTTGACTAATCGAATATAATTGTTGGTTAAGTAAAGTCTAAACCATTTTCCTCGTTGGATCAATCTCAACCTACAAGTTGGGTTCTTTACTTGATAACGATCGCTTATGCTTCTGAAAGGAGGTGTAATTTGAGCGTATCACACACATATTTCCACAATCTGAATAAAAAAAAAATAGGACCATCTCTTACTTTTCCTAGCAATCAAACAGAGAAGGGAAAAAGAACTTAACAAAAAAGGCAAAATACAAGAAAAGTATCAACTTCCTTCACTAACACACTGATTTCGAGGAAAAGAAAATACACAAGTAGAAACCAAAAGCAAGAAAGTGACGAAAAACTGAAAATAAAAAAATCACACGAAAACACACAAAACCATCAAAACATATCCAAAACGCAACTAAGATACCATCCAAACGTAAAACAAAGGAATAAAATACATGAAAGTTTGTCTAAATAAGTGAAACTTTTTAGTCCTTCACCCTCCGAATTAACTAACCACCTTGCACAAATGCTTCATATTTACTCACAGTATCAGTCTCAATTTTCCTCTTTCTATATTCCCACAGTAATGCTCCATATCTCAGCCGAAGACTTTCTAAATAAAAAATCGACATAGATATGTCGGTATCTCCACGACACACAAATTCAGCAAAGAAACAGGTATACATACCACAATCACTACAAAAAAGTTAAGACAACCAGCAGATTGAGAACATTATAAGGTAGAAACAATCACAAAAAATAACATAATATACTTACGTTGAAGTGTCGTCTTGTTGAGGGATGTTATCACGCTTGCCATATACCAAAGGATCACCAACAGGCCTTTCCGAATAATGCACATATGTATTCCAGCCAAAATCTTTCCTTATACCATAATAATCAATAGCAACAAATCTCCTTCAAAGATTTTCTCTTTATCATTCGTCTTGGTATCAGCAACCAATTTAGTATTTTTTTTAACTTTGTAGGACGAGGTCAAATCAATAACAATATACTGCTTGATTTTGTTATCAGGCGATTGTGTAAAGGCATTCAACTCATATGAAGGTCTTGAGCTTCCGATGGGCGGACTATCAACACCCATTACTTGTTTATTAAGCTGAGGGCTCTTTTGGGGAGTCTTATCCATCGATGGAGGATTATATATCTGATCAGAGAAGAACTGTGGTGATTTTGGTTGTAAAAGAAGACTTGGAAAGATGGAAGGTTAAAATTTTGTTCTTCAAATGATAATACAAAGAAAGATGGAAGGTTGAAATCTGAAAAGAAAAAGATGGACTGTTTTTACTTGGAACAATGAATACCTAGGTAAGTACACCAACTTTATTGAAAACGTAAAAGGTTTTATCAAAAAAGGAAGCAAATAATTAAGATCACAATAAAACAATCATTAACCCATGGAAAGTAAATATATCATATACATGTAAACGTATATAACTGGACTGTTTAGGAGAGATAAAATAGATAATTATTAAATACCCTAATTATGCTCCACATGAAAAGGCACATAATTAAACACCATAAAAAGATAAAACCGAATAGGAGAGAGAAAATCGGGAAAAAAATACATTTAAATAAAAATTAATAATTATTTTGTTATCTATGTAATTTAAAAACTATTTATGTAATTATATATAAATGTATTGATTTTAGGTTAATTAAAGTCTTAAAGTGTATATTTTTGTAATTTTTCCTATAAATAAATTTAAATATATTTGTTCGCGCGATCAATTTTACTAGTTTAACATAATAGGAGATGATACTCCGGGGTTATGGATATATTAGCAATCATGTGAAGTAATCACTTGACCTGACTCTGATTTTTTATTAAGTTGTTGATCAATGAAAATTATTGAGACTAAGCTCTCTCGAGCTACAATTCAAGTTTTTAAATGAAAATATTACTCAACTTATTATGAAAGTCACTAAAGAACTTTTTGAAACCAGAAGTCAAGGAACTGAACCTAAGTATCACATTAAGGGGTCGTTTGGTAGAGTGTATTAGAAAAAATAATGCATGTATTAGCCTTGTGTATTACTAGTACCTTGTATGGTACTCTTTTCCAATCTATGTATAACTAATGCGTGCCTTAGTTATACACTCTATAGTGTATTAAGGTGTGTATTGCTAATACCATGTATTTCTGGGTATTAGCAATGCAGTGGTTTTAATGCATGCATTAGCATGATTAAAGACCCAATTGCCCTTCAAAACCTCTTTTACATCTTTTCCACCATAATAGTGGAGGGTATCTTTGTAAATTAATTTTTTTATGCAACGCATACTATTTTTTTATGCATCAAATCAAACGATCCATAAAGATAATCTATGTATGATTAAGGAAAGCATAACTAATAAATGCATTGCTAATGCAAGCATTACTAATACACTCTATTAGCTAGGGGTGTACATGACCGGGTTGATTCGGGTTTTTCAAATATCAAACCAAACCATTTGTGTCGGATTTTTAAATCTATAAACCAAACCAAACCAATTAAACTTGGGTTTTTCAACCTCGGGTTTTTTCGGATTTTTTTTGGTTTTTCGATTTTTTTGGGTTTTTCCAATAAAGTATTCATACAAACATATAATTTACTTTTACTTCAAATATTTCTTTAGTCCTATTAAAATACAACTATCTAAGGTGTTTCTTAAGAAGATAACACAAAATATGATATGAGTAATGACACTAAAATAGCCAACAAAAAAAATAATAATAATGAAATTGCGTAAAACAAATATTGCAAATTAACAGGTCATAATGAAAATGATCATAATTTAAAAGTACTAAATCATGCTAAAATAAGTTTAATAAGTATTAGTTACATGACTAAATATTAAAGGAAATTAAAATTAGATTATGTATTTAAATTGTCTAAACCAATGTAAAATCAAAGAACAAATATTCAATATTACTGTCATTCTTGGGGTTGAATTGATTTTCTTTTTGCATTAGTATTAATTTGATTTTGATTTAAGCTTTATTATAATTACCAACATATGTGGACTATAATCTTTATTGAACCATTCGGAATTCTAAGTTTCAAACTTGAAATAATATATTAAAAGATAAAAATTATGTAAAAGTATAAGAAATATTTAAAAATTATATCAAAGTAAATATTTTTTATGTATAAAATAAAATTTTAAAATTATATATATAATGTCGGGTTGGTTTGGTCTCGGGTTGATTTTTTTTAGTTAAAACCAAATCAACTCAAATATAGTCGGGGTTTTTTTTCAATACCAAACCAAGTCAAACCAAACACTAGTCGGGTTTTTTTTCTCGGTTTGCGATTTGATTCGATTTTCGGTTTGGTTTTGTACACCCTTACTATTAGCATTATTCTTATACACTCTACCAAACGACCCGTAAGTCATTTGGAGTAAACCAAACGAGATATCTTATGTGATATAGTTACAAACAAAAAATAGTTCAATGATTTTTCATCATGCTTCGACAAAGTTGAGTTTATTTTTTCTTTTGTAATAAAAAAATAGTTTAGTGGCATTGATAAAATAAAATTCGAGTGACCATCCGTGAAACTAATCCCCCCCTGTGTACTTCAATTATCTCCCAAATTCTATATCTTATTATTAATGGTGGGTCTGAAGACTTGTCTGTAAAAAGGATTTAGATATGGAGATCCTTGATCCCTTTTTCTCATTTTACTAGTTATGGAAGGTTAAAGATGGATCCATAATTCTTGAAACAATTTAAACTAAATATCAGGCTTCACAATTGGCTTGGACAGGACCTGTATAATCTTTATACACACTCATTTTTATGGAAAATACTACAACACAAGGAACCATTACTTTTCCCTTCATAAGCTGGAACAGAGTCACTCTGCCAAGGAAGATGATGGACTTGGCATAAAAATAACCAGGATACAGACATCAAAATCTATAACAAATATCGTATGCTAAAGATAGCCCAGCAGATTATCTATTCTGATGTAAAAACACTTCAGCAAAAGGTGGCTGTAAACACTTTCTAGCATACCATGATTCACATGGATGTTCATGTCAACTACATTCGAAGATTTCCGCTCAGGGAAATAGTGAACTCTAGTAGGAAGATGAAGGAACTAGCAAAACATTACTCAGTCCAACTGTTATGAACAGCAAACTTAAAAGAAAAAAATGCTGACAGGGGATATGATCAAGGAAACAAAATTATATTCATAAAAGTGGTTATAACTACTAAGCATCCAACAACATAGAGATTTGACGAGAAAATTTAATAGTAATCAGAAGAGAGTTTTTTTTCTTGGATCGCTTAGTTAGTAATCATCAGATAGTTGCAAGAACAATACAAGGTTTGAAAGTGTAATAATCCCAAACATATCTATCTACCTAGTAGTAGTCAAGACATTAGATTTACAGCCTCTATTTAATGAAAGAGTTCTGATACCCAAGAGCTTAAAGAATTTCATGCACTCCTGAATCCTTTGAGAAACTTTGACGTTCCCATGTCAGCCTAAAACCTGCAAAACAATGTCATGTTGCAAGAAATTGACATGTTCAAAAATCCACTAATGCGCAAGGGAGATAGAAATCGCACTATTCATTTAAGAACTATCCTCTAAACTTTAGGCTTCCTCTTGCATAAATTAGATGGACTCTTCACAGCTAGTGGTGTTTCCAGATAAATAGTCTGTCCATTTATCAAGTAAAATAAGGCTCACTTTGTAAGGATTAACATAAAGTGCATCACGATACGGCAAGAAGTTAGCATTGCTAATGCCAAGATTCTCAATTTTTTCAACTGAAGTATCATATGAAACCAACAATCCATTGTCCGCTCTCCACAAAATTTGACCATTTTTCCTTGAAGCTATTGGCTTCACCAAGAAATGAGTAACCTGACGCTGACGACCACCATTTAACAACGAGAAAATTTCATCAACAATACCAACATTGAACGTAATGTGGCTGTTGATACTGAATTGTTTCACCCATGATTCTGGATGACCATGCTCTTTCATCCTCCAAATATCAATTGTTCCATCATCATCAAACAAACGATTAGCCAAACAAAGTGACTCCTCTGACACAAAAAGGTTGAACCAATTCGCACTAAACGAAAAACTCACAGCTAAACTACCCGGTACCATCATCTCCCTGAACGTCTCATCCTCCATATCAAACAGAACAATCATGATATGACAAGACACTCCTTGTTTCAATTTAGCAGCCACCCAATGGCAAGCCCCATTCACATAGACTCCCGGTATCCGCTCATTGAGTAATATCTTGCCAAACACCAGTGCTCAACTTATAAACCTTAACATGTGGTGGTACTAGTAAACCACCCATATAATCATCAGTATGTACTATTCTTACCACCTTATAGTCATTACGAACAGAATCATATCCAAACCCAAGAGTATGTTGAAAGGGACCATGTGTCTCAAACGTAAAAATTGATTTGGGAAGTTTTACTGATCGACTTTCTTATAGATGGATTCCAAAGATCCCAATATCGAGACAGATCGTCAGAAAGGCATAAAAGTCCATTACAACTACTGACTTTCAAACGCATCAAATGGCACATCACATTGAACATACTGATCAAAATTTTCATTGTCATAGAATAAAGCATACATTTCTTTTACAGGTTCGTTCTTCGGAGCAATGGCGTACTAGCAAGTAATCATCATCTTTGTTGTTGTTGTTAAGGTGTAGGGAGATAAAATTAGGGCTAGTAATGAGAGAATACCATGATTTGCAGACGCTTGTGCACTGAATGATGGATTTTGTTGGTAATCTTAGAAAAATTTCAATCAATACTTCTTTCTAACCCCAAAACATTACTGAATTCCGATGTGGAAATAAAATGTAAGGTAGTTTTATTATAATATGAATTAAATTGTCTCTAGATTATTTAATGTCTTTGATTTTATTTACACTAAATAGATTGGGATAAAGTTTCCAATTTAACCATGACTTCCTTAAAGGATTATAGGAGGAGAGCTTTCAAAAAGGATATCTTATCATTTTGGTATTTTATCCTAGTACTAGGATACATCCTTTTCATTTTGGTAAATTAATAATTTTCGCAATTGTTATCCCACACTAAGTGTAACATAAATAATTTTGAATTAAATTATTTAATCATATATAGAATAAAATAATCTAATATCTTATTGTTAGATTTTTACTCTTTACTCTACAAACCATAATTTATGTAGTTAACTCATCTACTTAATGAGTGCTTGAGAACACGTGCATAATTTTTTTCCAAAATTTGAGTCGAAAACATAGTAAAAACACTTTATTATGTAGTTTTGAAAGTCTAAATGAAATAACAACAGATTTAAAGGGTTGTTGGAACATGTTGTAGTTGAATATCTAAATGAAATAACTGACAGATTTAAAGGGTTGTCGACGTATTTTGCCAAACTTGTGCTTATAGTGTAGAGAGACACTGATACTTCATTACTCCAAAAAAAAGAAAAAGAAGACTAACACAACTACTTCTCAATCATGTGGAGAGTGAGAAAAGAGAAACAGGGAGGAGGTAACATAACTTTTGTAGAATACAACAAATGATAAACAAACTTTACCTTTACTAACTTATTGCAACTCAGTATATAGAAGATGAACAAAAATTGATCAAGAGGAAGAAGAATCTATATAACAAAAATGGAAAAACAAAACACATATTTTCCATTCTGGAATACATGCTGAAATAACCTTCCATTCATCCTTACGCGCTGTACAATTGATCAAGTATCTTAAGAAGAATAGGTTTCACTTCTCAAAGTCCCTTGTCGACTATACCTAGCCAACAAGTTCCAAGCAAGCAAAGCAGCTCCAATGGCAGGTTCCACCTAATACCGAAGAGTTGAGGAAATGAGATGTGCAATGAGCCTAGTGATGTGCAATGTTAGCAGAACCAGTTAACATTTCACACATTACAGAATATCGCGTTTTGGTAAAGTATAACCTTTTTATTTTTCAATATGAGAAATTATATTGAGCATAATTGAAGAAAATATGCTTACCTTTGGACAAATGGGATGAACCCCCGGGAAGTCCTTGCATATACAGTTAATGACTTCTCTTCCTATATCCCATTTCTTGTTGGCTTCAAGAACACCTCCAACCATAACAAGAGGAAATGTATCATTTCCATCTACAGAGAATTTAATTCAGAAATCAACTTGTTAGTCATGCCTGGAGACAATTTTGTGCAAGTGATGAGTAAGACAAGTTTGATGATGCAATGAAAAGGAACATTTTTGGGGAAAATAAAGAACTACTAATAATGAAGTCAACTAAGGCACACAATTTCTTTAGCACACTGGATTGTAATAATGACTTGTCAAGCATGCTACATCTTGATAAATCATAAATCTTATTTAGACCTAATAAATCACCCAGCAATTTCAAAACCAAAAAATATATGACACTTAAGGTAAAGAAGATTTTTCTCCCAAGGTAGGGGTAAGGTCTACATACACCCCACCCTCCTTAGACCCCACTTTATAGGATCACATTGAATATGTTATTGTTGTATTTATCCTGTATTGTCTACCAACATATTCTGTTGAAAAAATTCTTAGGACTTGGAGGGATTCTTTTGAAAGATTAAGTTATAGTTAACATTTGGCTTTAAAGATACAGCTAAACATATCATTGTCTCCTAATATTTGATACCTCAAAAGTTAAAACATTATCCTAGTTCTTCCCCTTTAAAAACCTTTAAGTTGGCGTTGGCAACTCCCACATAAACTTTAATCTGATGCAACAAACACATTCCACTAGCTTGACATCAATTCTCAATCAGATGATACCATTCTCTACATGATTCAAAATCAACCGTATAATTGAGGAAGTCCATTATTTGGAAAAGTCTAAAATGATTGAACCTGTAAATATTTAATAAATGCAATCTCAAGAAAAAACTATAAAATTGCAATTGCTTCAGATCACTACTATTCCTTTTTCCAGCACCACACTTCTCAACTATGACTTTCTCTTCTAGGCACGATACTAGTCAAGCATAGAGTAGCAAAAGATTAAATCATGATTAGAGTTCTGTTATATATAATATACTTCAGCACAATTCACTGCAAAGTCATATTTTCAGAATAAGAAAACACATAAACTGATTTATCAAAATTTTTAAGGCTAAGTTCAGTTCTTGGAGGTAATAAATATGGAGAAACTAATACAGATACATACAGAGATCTAGATATGGAAGATATCAAAACATTTTCATGTAACTGCAGCCCTAAAAGGCAAATCACTTAATCGATTGACAGCATACCTTCACCACACAACTGTAGTCTTCTAACAACAGCTTTAACACTGGAAGCTAATTCTTGAACCGCATCTCTCAATATCTTATTTGCTACTTCATCACCTCCCTCTGCACAAGTCACTACCACTGGAACAAGAGCCGCAATCCGAGCCCAAGATGGATCTGAATAGGTCCACCTGAAAATTAATGAAAAAATGTTTTGACCCAAAGAGCTCTTGTGCATACAAATCCGATATGCCCCATGAAGGAGCTATGAAAAACAATAGAAGTATCTAAACAGAAAAAACAAATCAAGAAGATCTAACTTAGTAGTTCAAGGTATTACTATTATTCTCAAATAGAAGATTAGAGCAACTGCCTGTCAAGAGCATAAGTTACTGTATATATGTTACAAGCATGTTGCAAGAAATGATATATCCCTTCAGGACTATGTAAAAATCAGCAATGACATCCATGATGTAGGATAATGCAAGATATGAAAGAAAATTTTCTTCAGGCTAATGAAGACATGAATATATATGGATGCATAAAAAAATCAACCTAGAAGAGATAAGAGACTGCCATAGTTTCCCTATAATGGACGGATAAGTAAAAAGCATGATAATATTTTTATATTTTACTCAAAAGTCTCAAACAGGTTACTACGACATTGCCTCCATGGTAGTGAAAACTTTGTTGATGAAGAATATTATCTCAGAGCATGCAGAGTCCTATTTAGAATCAATTTGCAACCTCTACTATATGAAAAAATAATTCGGCAAACACACAAGGGACACATGAACTCCTTTCCCTGCTAGATAATTTTAAAGGTGAGAAATGGTATTTTGATTAATCAAAAAATGGATTATATTTTAGACGTGGAAACTCATAATCAACACAAACAAAAGCTTGCAAAGTTAAATATATAATATCGTTATGCATATATACTATGATAACTGGTGAATGTTTTAAATATTGTTCCTTTGACATCCAAGGTGTCAAGATCAAATGTGTTCCCTATGCATTTAAAAAGAAAAACTCTTTGACAACATGAGTAAAGTCCACAAATGTGCATGCATCTTTTCGATAACAAATTTTGACAGTATGAGCTAGTGTTTGTTCATGTCTTCGAGGCAGTAAATTATTTAAAAGAATAACTGACTCATAAGAGAAGTTGATGAGATTAGTGATTCAAGTTTCCATGAAGTACCCAATAAGCTCATCAGGAGAAGAAAGATCCAGCTTCCTTAGAATACTTGGCGTAAGTGCAGTGTATGGACCACGACCATCATAGGCTCTAACTGCAGCAGTCAATGCCTGTGCAGCTATACCATATCCACTGCATGTGAACAAGAAATAGATCCTTCAAAGTTAACCAGACAAAGAAAAAGTACAACAATCAAAAAATTTAAAAAGTCATTGCTGCCTAGGTAAATCAATAGGACAAATTTAGAAAACAAAATTATCTCAAACTGGATCAAAACAAAATGGGCACTACAGAGCCAGGTAGTTTGAAACAGCATAAAAAATGGAAACTTAAAAATGACAAGGTAATGGAATCTGGTATGAGGTTTGGAAGATGTAGCCAAACAGATAACTTCCACTAGGAAGTCTTTAAACTTAAGTATGAAACAGCAGAAAACTAGGGGGGAAATCTTCAGATGTAAGTGCCCATGTTGTCAGCCAAATATCTCAAATGAAGCATCATTAGCAACAACTTTTATTGCCTCTCAAACGTTCGCAGTAGACAATGAACTTGTGATATGCGGGAGAAGAAGCCAAAAGGATGAAATATCACTTTAGATCCTGAAAATAAGACGACTAATGCAGTGAAGCCGTGCAATGCATACCTTCCCCAATCTCCTAATACAGGCCCAGCACCAGCAGCTCTAGCATCTCTCCCATCTTCAGTGAAACCATAAGCAATTGTTCCTGTACCAGCAATAAGGACACAACCATGAAGCTTTCCCATTGTTCCACTTGCAAGAGCTGCAACAGCATCATTCTGAACAAAGAATTGGACATGGCTGGGGAATATATCTCTACAAGAAATCAAGGGAAAGAAATTTAGGGGAAGGAAATAAACCAAAGTAAATATAAAGTCAAAGAAGAGAAAAATCATGAAATATAGCAGATAAACAGCTGATGAATCCAAATAACGAGCAATGACAAGTTCAGAAGACGGGAAGGAAAATGAAAGAAACTCTCCAGTGACAACTCACAAGATGATGTGCCACATGGTTACACATGGAGTCAAGTCTCCAGTTACCAAGTAAGAAGGATAAAGGGCGATACAATGCATCTTCAATGGCTAGAAAGAGAATTTTCATTAAAGATCATATAATAATTTTCAAATTTTCCAACCATTTCAAACAGCCTTGGTACAATTGGGTATTCCAATAGAGCATCTCTAATGGCACTTCATTTCACCTCATAGCAGCAGAGGGCACACTAGGAACACAGCATATAGAAACTAGCCACTAGTGCTGAACACACACAGTAAAAGTAAAGCACATGAATAAATTGATATGGAAAGACAATAAGAAAGTGTCAATTTTTTAAAACATACCTAAGCCAGTTCATTATTCGTTCTATATCTGTTGGATGGTTGACACCAGAGACAGCCAAACAAACAGCTTGCACACAGAAACGTGTTGAGCCTGCTTTTGAAAGAGCATCAGCCATGACTAGCTCTAAAGCATCCCTCGCGGCGCTTTCTGTAAAAGGGTCTTTATTAAGAACTATGGGCAGTAGAATACTGATCCTTAAATAAAGTAAACAAAATTAGAACTGGATAACAGTTTCCTGTCACATATCTTCGCAATAGTCCACTTAGAGAACTCAAAAATATTATCTTCAACTGAAGCTAACTGTTTTCCCCTCCCACCAACACTATGACCAACTATTTATCAAAATACATCTCGAACTGTTTGAATACAATTGCCAAAAGGCACCAACTAATTTGCCCATAAATTTTGGCTAGTTGTTGATAGTTCAGGTAGTTAACGCAAACACATAATAGTTCAAATAGAAAACTCGCAAAATCGTGATACTTGAGGTGTGTTTTTGACAATACCTCCGACGCTATTGTGATTGGAGCATCCAGCAACTGCTCGTGAGAGAATAGGAGGAGGGTCAGGTAGTTCATCAGCAAAAGGGATAAGAGGCATACAAACACAAACAGTACAAGTGGTATCACCATCCAATCCCAGTATGACTTCTCTCTGATCACAAAATCCATTTCCAAGCTGCATTTCTTCCTCAAAATCCCATATTTCTCCATTCCTATACCTCTTCATTTTCCACTCCCAGTAAAATTGGCAGGTGAAATGGGGGTGTTCTTGAAGCTAAAGAAAAAGAGGGAAAAAACTATATTTTAATTTGTTTAGTAAAATAGAATATTGGGACGGCAACGAAAAGACAAGTGCTAAGAATGGGCGTATGAAATTGACGGATGTTTTCGTATTGGGTCTTTGTAGGGATAAAAAAAGATTGATTTGTTGGACTAGTGTTTTGTAGCTTTTGGTTTTCATACAAGGACTGCAAAGCAAAGAAAGCTCAACAACTTTGTTTATTGGCCATTTCCACCATTTCTCTTTGTATCTTTCTCTTATTTCTTAGTCCCATTTTATGATCTTTCGAATTTCGATGATGCACTGTCCGTTTCTTGTTTAACGCAACTCTCTAAATTCTTATCATGGTGAAATGTAGGACCTCTATCCAATACTTCTTCGACCTACACGTGTCTCTCTTCGTACCCTCTATAACCAACCTCCTGCACCTCATTGATGTTTCTATTCAAATCCCTCTTCACATGTTTAAACCATCTTAGTCCCGCTTTTCTTATCTTGTCCACCAAGGAGGTCACACCTACCTTGTCTTGGATATCCTCATTTACAATTTTATCACTCCTAGTAAGACCACACATCCACTTCAACATCCTCGTCTTCGCTACATGTATCTTTTAGACATGAGAGGTTTTGATTGGCCAACACTCAGTCTTATACAATAACATTGGTCTAACCACCACTAATAAAACATTAGAACTTACCTTTGAGTTTTAAGCACTTTTAGAGTATCAGGGTAAATTTAAAAGGTGCTTAATTAAAAACACTTATTTTAAACTAAAATGATAAAAATAAGTCAAAAGTTATCCGATAAGACTTCTAACTTAAAAGTCAAAAGTCAATCCTAATTTGAACACGTGTTGAGTTGGGATATTAATCATATCATATCTAGAATTTAGGACCGTTTGGAGGATGAAAAACTCTGTTAGCTATTAAGGATTCTTGAAAGGACATCTTTTGAATTCGATGTGGTGCAAACACGAATAGTTTTGAGCAAATAATATATCAAAAGAAGCTCATATCTAAAATTTGAAACTGTTTGGGGAGATTTAAGTTATGACCATTTTGTTAGATTTTTGTTTTTGTCACCTAAGAAGCCCAATAGACAAATGTTTACAAACATTTCCAAGCCCAAATTTTGTTGGGCTTATTTGACTATAATAACTCAAGCAAGTGCAGCCCTATCTATTGTCCATTCTGAAGGCAAAACAAACCCCAGCCCAGTCATATGTGGATGTTGGACTCTACTTCTATTAGTTCTCTTCCTTTTCTTAAACCCTTCACAATACATACACCAAAACCCCTTTCTTGATCCCAAAACCCCTTTTATAGCTCCAAAATATCTCTCTACAGCCTCTGCTTTCCAGAGCCAAAGTATCGGACCCCTCAACCGCCTTCATATTTTGCTGGCTTAAATCAGTTGCTTCTTTCGTCTTTTTCATAAACCCTAATTAAACCCTTCTATACCATTTTGCTGATCTCTTCTCTGTTGGAATATTTGAAGAAAGCAATAATGAATAGCCTTGTTCTATTGAAGAAGTCTTCTTCTTTACATGCCTCGAAAAGGGTTGCTCTTAATGCCCTTACTCATCTATTGTTCTCACCGTCGACGTCCGGCGACGACAAGTTCATTTCCGGAAATACCCAATTTAACAGCTTTACCACTGTTAGTACGGCTGATACTTCAAGAAATGGAAACTGGGTTGATGGGAAATTTGGGGTTTCTGCAAGAGGGTTTCATTCAGGCAGGTATTTACGAGCTGGATATGCGGTGGCGGATTTACCTGAGGATGATGAAGGACTTGAGATATCGAAACTTGGTATAGCTCAGGAGATCGTTTCTGCTTTGGAGAAAAAGGGAATTACGAAGCTCTTCCCTATTCAGGTTTTTCCTCAAAGCGACTATCATTTCCGTTTGGAAAAAATGTTTCTTTTTCAGCTTTTAGGGTGTGTTGGTGTGATTCGAAATGTTTTCTCATGGAACGTTTCCAGTGGTTGTGATTAGGTATATTGTAATCCTACTGTATCAAGCAAGATTATCAATGTGTTGATTGAATGAATTTATATGGGTTAAAGAGTCGGACATATAATGACGTCGAGTGCATGATGTCATTTCCACCAATAAAGGAATATGTTGGTGTATGACCATCTCAGCTAAGCTTAGTATACTTTTTTTATATCTAATTTTGTAGTCATATTTTGCCATACCAAACAAAGGCTTAATGTGTTTCTGGAAGTTTTTTTGTTGATGAAGTTAAATATTCTCTAGGGTTGAGTAACTTAGGGTTGTATGGTTTACTCTCGTGAGGTTGGTCGGCTAGCTTTTTAACAAGGCAGTTGACATTTTTATGCCACCTTCCACCAATACAGTTCCTGTACAATTTTGACAAAGGCTTAAGCAGGTGGAAGTAATCACTTAAATTTTATTGTGTCTGCTAGAATTTTAACCTTGGCCTCTGAGGTTTTCAATCACTTCATTGACTGCTAGGAATTTTGTTTGAGACTTAAACAGGTGGGAAGAAACACTTAGTTTTATTGTCTCTGCTAGAAGCTTAACCTTTGCCTCCCAAGGTTTTCGATCACCTCATCTGCCACTAGGTCGCACCCTTAGTTGCCTAATACGATGCTTAATATATCAAGGTTTTCGATCACTTCATTTGCCACTAGGTGCCTAATACAATGCTAAGCATATCAAAGTTTTCTCCTCTGGAATCCTGTTTAGAATGATCTGTCCACTTGAGTTTTAGTTGGTGAAATGAGCTTAATTTAGTCATGTACTGTGTGTTTTAATGCATAGCATTAGGTTATTTTCGTCACGAGATGCAAGGCAAAGAGAGATGTGACTTTAATTTTTTTTTTGGGTTGTGCAGAGAGCCGTTCTGGAACCAGCAATGCAAGGATCTGACATGATAGGTCGAGCTAGAACTGGAACTGGGAAGACACTAGCTTTTGGCATTCCCATCATGGATAAGATCATTCGCTTCAACGAGAAACATGGGTTTGTTCAGTCTGCTTTCTCTCTGGGCTTTTATATTTTTTGTAGTACAAAAATGATAGCAGCATAATGTAGTGATTTCTCATCTGCTAGGTTTGGCAATTTTATTAAAGTTCGATTCTGAATATTTGTTGCATTTGGACCTAATTACAGTTGTAAAATACTAACAATTTGTGTATTCTCTATAATGCAGACGTGGAAGGAATCCTTTGGCTTTAATCTTGGCGCCTACCAGAGAACTTGCAAAACAAGTGGATAAAGAATTTTTTGAGTCTGCTCCTGGTCTGGATACACTGTGTGTTTATGGTGGTGTTCCCATTTCACGCCAAATGAGTTCCCTTGACAGGGGAGTTGATGTTGTTGTGGGAACGCCAGGTCGGATTATTGATCTGCTGAAGAGGGGTGCTTTAAATTTGGCAGAAATCCAGTTTGTTGTTCTAGATGAAGCTGATCAAATGCTTAACGTGGGTTTTGCGGAGGATGTCGAGACCATTTTAGAAAATGTTCCACAGAAGCATCAGACACTGATGTTTTCAGCCACAATGCCCAGTTGGATATTAAAAATTACCAACAAGTTCCTGAAAAATCCTGTTCACATTGATCTTGTGAGACCAAAAATGCTCAACATTTTAATACAAATTTCCTTAATTTTTGAGAACTTTGGAGGCTAATTTTTCAATATATCCCAGGTAGGAGATTCTGATCAGAAACTGGCTGATGGGATTTCCTTGTTTTCAATTGCTTGTGATATGCATCAGAAACCAGCAATTCTTGGACCTCTGATAACTGTATGGAGATATACCTTCAGTCTCCTCTGTCCCACCTTATTCCCTCTCATATTGTTCTAAGTCGCTCTCTATTTATTTCCACCAACATAAAGATAATGGTCTTTCTGTTGTCTAATTTTTCGATAATCCTTAATCTCTGAAACTAATTGAGCATTTCATTTTGCAGGAGCATGCAAAAGGGGGCAAGTGCATTGTTTTTACTCAAACTAAACGCGATGCTGATAAATTGTCGTATGTAATGCAAAAGAGTTTCAAATGTGAAGCATTGCACGGGGACATCTCACAAACCCAGAGGGAGAGAACTCTATCAGGTTTTCGCCAAGGTCAATTCAATGTGTTGGTGGCTACTGATGTTGCTGCCCGAGGACTTGATGTACCTAATGTTGATCTGGTTGGTCTTTTGTTCTCATACTTGTGATTTTAGGTGCAATAATCACTGCATTTCTTTTCTTTCATCTGCACACTCCAACAATAGAGCAGACAACATATCAGAAAACCCTCTGTTAGAACCCGTTGATCAACAAACCAACAACGTGACATGTAATAGAAGGGGGTTCGGTGGAAGTTGCATATTTAAATAGCAACCTTGCCTGATCCTTCATGTTTTTAAGGTTTAAAGGTCATTTTATAACTCAATACAACTTTACTTGAATGCAGACTAAGCAATTTCTTCAGTTTCCTCTCCTTTGAAACTCTTTTATAGGTCTTTATATAGTCTATGTTAGATGTTATATATCTCTAAAGCATTTGTCAATAGCGAGCAGAAGTATCTGAAAGTAGCAGTCTTTTCTACATATTTAAAGCAATAGGGTACGAGCAGGGGTGAAGCTTTGTAGAACCGAGGGGATTCCATTGATATCCTTCGTCAGAAATTACACTCCGCAAATAGGGCAAGAATGAGTGCTTTAATTATACTTAGACTATTGAATCCCCTTGAGATAAAGGAACATTCTAGTTTAGTGGGAATGAGTATACAATTTGCTTTAAGACACAGATTTGCTCCCAAATGTTCTAGTAATATTTTGGATTCCCTGCATAAACTTGGAAATATGTTGCTGCTCAGGTGGTACATTATGAGCTTCCAAACTCATCAGAGATCTTTGTTCATCGATCCGGTCGAACTGGGCGTGCTGGGAAGAAAGGAAGTGCAATTCTGATACATTCTTCAGGCCAACATAGGGATGTGAAAGGTATCGAACGTGATGTAGGATGCAGATTTATCGAGGTAAGGTGGCTAATATTGGTGATGCGTTTACTTTTTGACGTCATCTATTCATATTTTCCCCATGTAATTTATGATGGCACTGATGAATGTGAACCTCAGTTGGAGAAAAGAGCTTTATGCTCAAGAAGACTATAAGTCTATAACGCTGTGTGAGTTGTGACTGCTGTAACTAATTAGTGCTAAAGGGGCTTCTGCATTCCTTCTTTTTCATGGGGTCCAAAAAGTTAAAAGTATTTTACTAAGAATCATAAGAAGGCCAAAAATGTCTGAATCATCAAAGTAAACGCTACATTCTCAAAAAAAAAAAAAGTTCTTACCGCCAAATATTTTATGATTACAGTAAGAATAGCGCATTGTAGTGTTTACTTTGATGATTCAGACATTTTTGGCCTTCTTTTCACTTCTATTACTATTGAGGATATCTCTCAATGATTTCAATGTAGTAACTCAAGCAGATATGCCTAATGAAATCATGCCACATAAAATGGGATGTTGGGGAGAGTATTTGTTGTAATATTGTAAATGGCTGTAGTTAGGTCTAGTACTTCATTGTCATGCTTTACTATGTGAGGGAGATGTGTTGGTGTGCTATTATTTGAATACTAGTGTAGACAAACTAAAAATTTCATGTCTTTGAAGTAGTTCAAGTTCTGGTGTCATTTACTTCATGGAGCACGATTTGTCACTCTTCATATCTTTTGTGTCTTGCCCTTTTGTTGAGAGAGTGACAAGTGGAGTTGAATCTTTATTTATTTTCTATTTCCTATCACTATCTTACTTAATTGAATAATAGTGAATTGTGAGAGTATATAGACTGGAATGGTGCTGAAAATGAAGCAGCTTATAGTTGGCTCCAGCAATTATCTAGTCTTTTCAATTAAGTATCATAATCCTCCTGTTCTTACTTGGCCAAATTAGGTGAATTGTATGTAAGGCTAGTTGTGGCCAAGGGTTATTTCTTATTTTCTCATCTTATTTTCATGTATTTGGTGAAAAAAGCTTCCAAGGATTGAAGTAGAGGCTGGAGCAACAGACATGTTCAGTGACATGGGCAGAGGTGGGGGGCGCTTTGGCTCTTATGGAGGCATGGTAGGTGGTCGGTTTGGTGATTCTGGTTCAGGTCGCTCTGGTGGCTATGGAAATTCTGGCGGCAGGTTTGGGGGTCAAGGCGGATATTCTGGTCGAACAGGTGGATTTGGTGGATCTGGTGGTGGACGATCAGGGGGTAGCTTTGGTGGATCGAGCTCAGGTCGCTCAGGGAATTTTGGTGGTTCTGGAGACATGCGTGACTCCAATCGCCAGGGAGGATTTGGTGGTTCAGATCGTAGTGGCGGTTTTGGAAGTTCAAACCGGACTGGTGGCTTTGGAAACTTTGAGAGTTCAAACCGCTCAAGTGGTTTTGGAGGATTTGGTTCAGGCCGCTCAAGTGGATTTGGAGATGGCAAGGCTAGTGGTGACCAAGGTTCTGGGAAGAAATTTTTCTAGTTCTATCTGTAAGGCAAGTTCCTTGTTTTCTACTGATGAATTTGATGTTCTCATCCATATGGTCATTGATAATTCTCCATTTGTTCCTACTTGTATACAAAATTATTAAGCAAGACTTTACTAATACTATGACAATAACACTAATAATCGTAACAACTGAACAAAGAGGTTGGAAAATAGGAAATAAAAGGTTTGTCTTTGATTTAACAATAAAACAAAGAATCTCAGCTGTACTCTTTGATATATCAGTAATTATCAAGCACGTGTGGCTGATCTGTTATACAGTGCATCATGCATGTGTTTTAAATGGTTGTTTGTATTTGAAATAGTTTCAGCTATAAAACCTTTCTGAAGGTGCCTTATGTTAACAAGGACATAAAACATCTTAGAACGGAATGACTGTATAAATAGGAAAGATAGTTTTGTTTGTACATGTGAACGGGAACTCTGCATTATGTTTTTGATGTAATGCTCTGGTTTGTTCAACAGGCGTGGACACTGTGAATATGGCCATGAAGAGAGATGAATGTGCGACTGATGTCCAATTTGTGAAAGCATGTGTTGATTACAAGGCTGTGTTTAGATTTGCAGAATGATATTTCAACTCAAATGCTATACTTAGAATTCCATAAGAAATAACCATTTAATATCCACCTATATGTAATCTTTAGCTATCAAGAACACACGTCTTTTGCTTGCCTGCTATTATATTTTTTTGATCATCTCAATTGGTTTCAATTCTGCAATATGCAGTGACAGTTTACATGTTTTAAGCTCCGTTTCTAAAGAACTATGTACCAGTACTCCTTTTGGATGAATGTACTAATTGTATATAGGATTTATTTATCATTTCAATAGGATATAAGCTAAGGTAGACAGAAAGGCCTGGTGACAAAGAAATTCATAAATAACAAAGAGATTAAATTTAATTATAACTATAGTTTGCCTATTACGTTCTATAGTTATAGTTTTCGTTTGTATATTTTGCTTGTCAATATGCAAACATGACAAGTTTATACATTTAGGAGTTTTGAATTTGTATATGTATTGGCTTGATTAATTATATCTTAATTCATATAGTTTTTTTAATTTTGGCGTAGAGTACATCTTAATCAAAGACTAGTAAAACAAAAAAAAGAGTTGACAGAAAATATGTTTCATGTCCCCAAAGGTCCGGTCGGCTGGTCGGCTATTCGGCCTGTCATTTGTGTAGAGGAAACCTAACTCAAACAATTTTTTTTTATTAATTATTATTTTTGTTTAATAAATGGGAGAGCGTATATATCTCATCTTTTTAAACTAAAATTATTTAGAGATGTTATCAAATCATCAAATTTAGAGAATAATCAGAATAAAAACAAATACAAATATATATACATCAAATAAATGGTACAAACTACAAAATTTAAGTTAGATATTACATCAACAAAATATATAATCAATATGAATTGGAGAAAAAGATTCACTTATACGTACCAAGTATTTATATTGATTTAAATGAATATGTAATAAAAGCACTGTTAATGTCTATTCTCACATTAATTATCACTTGACTATAATAGTCCTTCTTATGTCTCTAATTAGTTGTTCACTTTTGAATTGACACATCTATTAAGAAAATAATTTTTAATATAGTAAGTATTATTTTATCTCTATTAATTATGAAGTGGATGAATTAAAAACTTAAGATTTTCAAAAAGTTCTACATTTTTCAAAGTAATTAATTGAGGGTGTAATAGGTATTTGTCCTTTCTTGATTTGTCAAAATGAACAGGTAATTAGGGACAACCAAAAAAGGAAAAGTGGACAAGTAATTAGGGACAAATGGAGTAATAGTTAAGTACCCCCTCTGTCCCTAATTACTTGTTCATTTTTTCTTTTATAGTTATCCCTAATTACTTGTCCATTTTGACAAATCAAGAAAGAATAAATTTTTTTTACCTATTATACTTAAATGATTAATTACTTTGAAAAATGCAGAACTTTTCATCCACTTTATAATTAATAGGGGTAAAATGGTAAACTCACTATGCCATTAATTGTTTTCTTAATTGGTGTGTCAATTCAAATGTGGACAAGTAATTAGGGACAGTGGGAGTAATTAATATGATTTTGATGTAATAAATGCAAAGTGATGATAAGTCACCGCAACACTTCATACTCCCTATGTTTCTAATTACCTGTCCAATTTTTCTTTTTTACTTGTCCCTTTTTATTTGTCCATTTTGACAAATTAAAAAAAAGACAATTTTTTTTACCTATTATATCCTCAATTAATTACTTTGAAAAAAGTAGAACTTCTTGAAAATCTTAAATTTTTAATTCATCCACTTCATAATTAATAAGAATATAATGGCAAACTCACTATGTCAAACATTATTTTCTTAATTGGTGTGTCAATTCAAAATTGGACAAATAATTAGGAACCAAGGGAGTATTAGTGAACGATGTATTATCATTAATTACTTTCTTTCTTTCAATTTATTTGTTTGATTTTAATTTAATACTCCCTCCATTTCTTTTTATATGTCACCATTTTTTTATTTCACTTGCATTAAGAAACTAAGTTTACAGTTCTATCTTTATTTAATGTTTTTTTTAAATCAATTTTTCAATAAATGATAAATAAATTCATCTTTTGTTTTTAATTTGTTTGTTGAGATTTCTTTTTCAAAATATATTTTATAGAGTAATGCAATGGTGAAAGTAATTAATCAATGTATGAAGTAATTACAATGAACATTAATTAATATTAGTTTTCCTAGGTTGTCAAATATCTATTTTCAAGACTAATTAACTATCAAGGTATAATAGGAAAAATATTGTAATTTATGCATTGATTTTATGAAATGACAAGTACTTCCTCTGTCCCTAATTACTTGTTCGCTTTTGAATTGACACACTTATTAAGAAAATAATTAATGACATAGTGAGTTTACCATTTTACCCCTATTAATTATGAAGTGGATGAAAAATTCTACATTTAAAAAAATAATTAATCATTTAATTGAGGGTATAATAGGTAAAAAGAATTTGTCATTTCTTGATTTGTCAAAATGGACAAGTAATTAGGGATAACTATAAAAGGAAAAGTAGACAAGTAATAGCTTTTGACAATAAATCCAATGAATACTTGCACTGGGTTCCAAAACTCTTTGCGATCTATACCTGCAGATGAAAGAGGAGCTTCTACGTGAACATTTCTAACAGTGGTTTCTCCTCCAACAGTCAAGTAACTAGCACTGGTTATTCCAGCAAGAGCTCTTACTCTAACAGAACTAGTACCGTCAACTCCAATTGTAGCAGCGGGAATGTCTTCACCACCAGATATTGCATTAAGAGCTTCTTTGAAGGCCGAAAGGTGAAGAAGTGTTTAGCCACACTCTCTGCGGAACAGTCTTATCAAAGCGCTCTCTTTAACCAATCAACCAAGACAGATGGAATGAAAGAAAGAAAAAGTTGCTCCGCAGCTCGCCCAGAAGAAGATAGACCCGCCACTATAGATTTGTCAATCCCTGGGCTTGGCCAAAGACATACCCGGCATACTAAGACGACAAAGGGAGTATTATGGACCAACTATTTATAATAAGGACGACGTATGAAAAGGAACGGAGGGAGTGTAAAATAATTATGACTTTTGAATTTTATAATTGCTATAATAAAAATAACTTTTAGTAGCAATAAATACACACATTAACAAAGAGTAATTTTTTTTTATCGGCATTAGTTAATTCATTAGATTTAGTGACACTATGGGCTTTAGAACATTTATAAACAGTGCTAAATGCCACTAAAAATATGTTTTAGCGGTAATTAAGTTATTGCCATTAAAAATCATTTTTTATATAGTGAATTTTAAACTAAAGGTATGTAGAATATATTAAAATATTGTTTAATCTTGTAATCTTAAAAACGTCGTATGAAAAATTAAAATTAAAAAATTTCAAAAAAAGAAAAAAGATATTTTAATATAAACGAACTAAAAAACAAATTGAAACAAAAGAGTAATTTTCCCCAATTTGGATAAGCTTTAGTTTGTACATTACTTTCATTAACGTGGTAAAACTAAAATTAGTTAGAGAGAGAGTAATTTTTAAATTTCCCACCAGGTATTTAATACAGATTTCGATTAAACAAAATATACACATACATATGTGTAAGTAATTAATGAATGTGAATAACGATGGGCAGTTTAATACTCTATTTGTCCCTAATTACTTGTCCATTTTTTGAATTGACACACCTATTAAGAAAATAATAATGGATATAGTGAATTTACTATTTTACCCCTATTAATTATGAAGTGGATGAATTAAAAACTTAAGATTTTCAAGAAGTTTTACATTTTTCAAAGTAATAAATTGAGGGTATATTAGAGAAAAAAAAAGTTGTCCTTTCTTGATTTATCAAAATGGATAAGTAATTAGGGACAACTAAAAAAGGAAAAATGAACAAGTAATTAGGGACAGAGGGAGTAAACATTATTCACTAGATATTTATCTAATTTTCTTTACGGGTGGAGATATAGTATTTCTTATAGTATCGAATATGGTCAATAATTTTAGTTTAAATTATATATTTATATTTAAATTTTTAATAAATATATAGTTGCAAATCCAATAATTTAGATAAGTTATAAATCTCATAAAAATGTATAACTCATAATTTTAAATTCTAATTTCGTATGTAATTAGATTTGTTAATTGCATTAATGATCTGGAGAAGGTAGTTGGCATGTAAAGCAATTATTTATTATCAAACCATTTTAATCCAAAACTAAACAAATAATTAGGTTAATGCAACTAATCATGAATTCATGACTTTTGGTTGGTTTGAAAGTTTTTTTTTTTTAAAAATAATAATAATAATAATAATAATAATAATAATAATAATAATTATTATTATTATTATTATTATGTGTGTATATACTTTGCATATGGCCTGATAAGTATGTCCGTTTCGAAGAGTACTGCCCCTTAGTTTTAAAAAATATTTGTAGTATTTTTTATTTATACGCCCTTTTAGAAAATATCGATTTGAAGGAGAATTGACTATTTAACCTTTATTTATACCCTATTTTATTTATATATTATAATTGAGATATTTGTAATTT